ATCGTAGCTTTCCCTTTGGCGATCTGTGCAATTGTCGTGWATTCCGGGSCGTATTCGTTGTTCCACTTTTTCAGTTTTTCAGTCTGGGACAAGATCACCGYTGCTTCCTKTTCCAGCATATCCCGATCAGATTTGTCTTCCCCCGYCTCTTGTTCATCGCTAGCTTCCCTTTTTTTTTGGTTCTTGTTCGTCTTCCTTGCCTTGGGACGTCGGTCCTGGAAAATGTCTTTAGTTGCTGGAATTGTTTTGTCTTCGTCCTCTGTTCCRTTTTCCCTTGCCCTTTTCTTTTCTGCGTATCTGAAAGCTGCATATTCTGAAAACTCATCCGCCTTCACCTTCAGTAGGGCTGCAAACTGGTTGGGGGAACTGCTGATCCCAGCCGTTACTTTCTTTTTCCCATTGGCTTGGGATCGTTCAGCATGTTTCAGACACGCTACCCTGACATCAAATGCATGTTCCCTCTCTCTCCTTGCTTTCTCCACGTATTGTCTTAACCATGCTAGGGACCTTTCCTCACGTTCTTCATCTTCTGTTGTGTCGGAGTCGGGCTTGGGATCTATCCCGTCAGCTTCGTCATCCGCTTGGTCTCCTGATGCATCAACATCCATTCCTTCTCTCACATTTTCAGCCTCGTCTTTGGTGCTGTCGTGTTTCCCTGCTGGTGTCTCAGCCCTTCTTCTTTTTGGTCCCGATTCCTTCTCTGTAGGATTGTCCCCTTTCTGTGATTGGCTTTTGGTATCTGGTCGGCTTTTGGCTCTTTTTTTGTATGTTTGTGCTTCAGCCTGTTTCAGTGCGTCCTTGAAGGATTCTGGGTCTTTGTTGTATTCCTCTTCTATCTGTTCTCTTATTGTGTCCAGGTCTGTCAACAGGTCCTCCCTTGCTTTCTCTTCTCTGATCTCCCTTGAGTCTGTGATAGGCATAGTATTGATCTTCGATGGGTTGCCTCTTACCTTTCCAGTGGCTTTCTTTTGCCACCTGCTGTCCGCCGGAGGGAAGATGTCCGTTTTTTTGGAAGTTGGGTTCGAGTCTGCAAAGTGCCAGATCCAGTCCGGCTCTTCGAGGTTGTCATCGAATACCCATCCATCGAAGGATGGATCTGCTATGAACCAAATCCCAGGGGCATCTTCCACTTCTAGCAGCATGTTGGGAGATAACTTCCTGTCTTTTGCCTGTTTCTGGAATTTCGGGCAGGTGGGCTCCGTGCCCAGATGTCCGCGCTCTCTACAGCGGAAGCAAATGGGGGATGTGCGTGTGGAGATTCTGATCTCAACCACTCTGCTTTCGATCTGTAAGTTCCAAGTCTGTGGAAAGACTGGTGGGTCGTTCGTTTGCACGTCCAGAATCGCAGTCATAGATCCGCAGTGTGGTGCTAGGAAATCTGGAGTGGGAAGGATCCATTTGAGGATTCTGTTCGCCGGGTATTGTCTTTCGCGTCTATCCACCAGCAGCCCATGAAATCCCGGTTGGATATTATCAAATTGAACCCATAAATTTTCCTTCATCAAGGTTTGTTTGTATGAGATCGCGAAGGCCGGGGTCTGCCTTTGTGCCGATAGCTTCTTCCATCTCGAGATTGTGCAGTCCGAACCATGACAATTCCTGGATTGCATTTCAGCTGCAATCCGTGCGTCGTCTTCTTTCACAAACAGAACCATGATGTTGTTCCTACCCAGACTTTGAAGGGAGAACGTTTCCCCTATGTATTTGAGCCGTGGTTCCTTTCGGATCGTCTCGATGACCCATTTCCTCTTTTTCGCAGGTTGGAGATCTGCCCCGTGGCGAGTGAAGTTAAACACCACTCCATGTTTCTCGTGAAGTTCGTCCAATTCTGCGACTTTTTCCTCAGGATACTTCCAGACCACTATCTCCTCCTGTTTTCCGTCGACCAGCTGTGTCTCTGTTGCCTCTATTCCTTGCACTTTAGTTCGTTCAATAAGGAATTTGAGTGCTTCATTGTCGATGATGTTGGTTTGACTGCCAGGGGCCCCGTTTTCGTTGGTTGCCATTAATAAACGTGCCTTGGTTGTTGTACGGTTGCCAAACTTCGGCCTAATCAGGAGACTCGGTGAGAGTGCTTCTTGATGTGTGGATGTTACTGCGTTGCACGGTTACTGATGCAGTGGCTGATTGTTAAATTATCGTGGGAATGTGGAGGTGCAAGATTTCGAGAAATTTTTGCCGCGTGGCAGTGAACTTGCGAGGCGGCTCTAAGCTATTCTAGTTGCCCATTATGGCGATGCAGGAGACTGTACTATGTGGCTATGCAGTCGAGGTGGGCGCAGGGTGGATGATAATGTGCTTGAAGTTTTGACTGCGGGTAGAGGGTCGAGATTGGGATAGGAGGATGAATCGGTTCGGGGTGGGAGGTGGGGGTGGGGGTGGAGCTGAGATTGGGGCGAAAGGGCGAAGTGTTGAGATCAGGGATACCCAGCGGAGGGATTGGGGTAAGAGTATGGTCGGGAGGGGTGATGTGGGTTATATGGGGGCGGAATCGAGACGGGATATGGGCGGGAACGGTCGGGGAAGCAAAAACGGAATTGGGTTAGGACCGGGGTTGGAGCGGGATCGGAGTTGGAGCTGGGTCGGGGTTGGACCAAAAGGAAGGGAATGGGCCAGGAGTGGGGGAACGGGACTGGGTCAGGGTCGGGATTGGGGTGGGATTGGTGTTGAAGCTGAGTCGGGGTAACGAGGGAAGGGGTTGGGGCGGGATTGGGGTTGGGATGGGATCGAAGTGAGACGGGATCAAAGGTGAGTTGAGGACGGTTGGGAATCAAGGTGAGTCGAGATCGAAGCCTGATTAGAATCAGGGGCGAAATGGAAGCGGGTGGGATTCGAGGAGGGTTGGGAACGACGCAGATCGGTACAGGTCGGGATTGGAGGCGTGGGAGCGGGTGGGAGATGAGGTAGTTTGGGATGGAAGTCGCAAGGGTTGAAGTAGAGATGGGGTGGATGTCAGAGTGGGTTAGGGTTGGGATCGGATGGGAGTAACAATGAGAACGGGACGAAGTCGAAGTGGGTTGGGGATGCAGCTGAGAGGAAATCGAAATGGGATGGGGACGGGGGTGAATTGGGGGTGGAAGGGAGTCCGGGTGAGTTGGGATCGAAGTTGATTGGGATCGGGAGCGAAGCGTGGGCGGGTGGGAGTCGAGGTGAGTTGGGCTCGAGATAGGAGGCGGCGGGGGATGAAGTGAGTTGGAATCAGGTGGGTCGGGATTCGGACAAGAGTCGAGAAGGGTTGGAATTGGGGTCGGGTAGGAGTCGAAGTAGGCTGGGGACTCTATTGATGGCGAACTGGGACAGGATCAGTGTAGGAATGGGATCAGGTAGATGTGGAAGAGGGTCGGGATCAGGAGCCGAAGAGTGGGGGGAGAACCAGATGGGATTTAAAGTGGATGGGCTTAGATCGGGGCTAGAAAGGAGTCGGGGTGCGTTGGGATTGGGGTTGACTAGAAGAGGGTTGGGGATGGGATTGAAGAAGAAGTTGGAAAGAGTCGAAATGAGGGGGGGTAAGTTGTGGAGGGGGGGACAAGTTTGGGGGTGGGTTAGTAGGATGTTGGTAAGGAGGAAGGGCAACGTTAGCTCTCACTCGAGTGAGACCTTGATTCTCCGCCGGTCTCTTTATGACGATCAGATCGCTTCGTCTGTAACGCGAGGAGAAAGATTCTTCAGGAGGTCGGTGATGGTTCTTTGTCAACGGCTGATGGTCTCCTTCTTGCCTTAAGGAAGTGCGACTCTTGCAGTTGTGGTTTCGCTGGCTGATGATGTGTGCGTCTTCTGAAAGCTGCTGCTCGTTAGAAGGTTCTCGAGCCAATTCTTTACTGCCCAATTCTTCACTGCGCTGCACTCTTCACGGGATCTCGGAAGAGAGAATGACTACCCTCGGCACGCGCGCGAGGCGCGTGCACGTGATGCTGTGATGGACGAGGCGAGCGCACGAAGGAGCTCGCGTAACCTTACAGCTATGACTGGGCGGGGTGCGTGGAGGTTGCCCCTGCGGGCGACGAGCTTCGATTGGCGGTACGGGCCTAGCGCAGGGTAGCGCTAACCGAGCGGCGCGGTCGCCTTTTTTTTTTTCCTCCCCTCTTATTCAAACAAGAAATAACAATAATAATGTTGAATGGCTGAACCAGAATCAATGTCCAAATCCCACTTCTACTGCCTTCCTTATGCTTTTTCTTTCTTTTGTGCTTTCTAGTTTTCTGTTTTTGCGGGCGAAGCTGCAACGGGTCATCTAGTCCATCCATAGGATGAGCAAAATCGAATGAAGCTTCCGCAGTCTCCGGCAACGGGTCATCTAGTCCATCCATAGGATGAGCAAAATCGAATGAAGCTTCCGCAGTCTCCGAAGCCGCGGCTGGCACCACGCGACGCTTCGTCTACAACATGGAAAGGGATGCCAGGCCCACCCTTTTTTTCCCCAGCGCCGTTTTGCATCGGCACGCATCGTACCTTGCCGGGCCCGTTGCGCAGTTGGCTCCACCGGTGTACAACATGGAAAGGGCTGCCAGGCCCTGCCCTTTTTTCCGCTGCGCCGTTTCGCGTCGGCGCGTGTCGTACCTGACCCCGCCCGTCGCGCAGTTGGCTCCACCGTTTCCGCCTTGGCTGCTGCCCGTTACCGGTTCCGCGCGGAGGCGCCCGGTTTCTGTTGGGTCCCACGCGAGGACCGCTGTTTCCTTTAGTAGTATAGGGATTTAGGAGCCGTGTCCTGTGTCCTCTCACCAGGTCATTGTTCAGATATGGGTTTGTGATGCTAGTTGACGCTTTCGTTTCTGTCTGAAGCTTGTCTGTGCTGGTTCTAGAAATAGTCCAGTTTAGGCTTCTATGGTTTGGCTTAACAGTTGCAGTTCGGGATGGTAGCTTTTGGGCTTCTGTTTTGTTAAAGGGGTATAAGCCTTCTTACTCTTGTTACGGCGACGATCTGTGTGTGTACCTGTTTTTCTTTTCTTTCTCTTGGCGTGGGGTTTGGGTGTTGTGGGCATTTTGCGGTCTTGGGTGTACAGTTGTCGCTTGCACGTGAGCTTGCTAAGATGGGATTTGACACATGGATCTGTGAGGTCAGGGGGATGGGCCTCAGCCATTGGATCAAAGGATCAGGACCATCCGATTATTCGGTGCCGGAGGACGTGAGTGATGGGAACGCTGTGGAATATCTAGAGAAGCTTGCAGATGAATTTGATCGGTTTGTACCGCATGGCGACATGGAAGTGGTGATGTCTTCAAAGTCTCAGAGTTCGTCGGCACTGGCGAGTAACAGTTCAAGAAGCGCAGGCCCACCTGCATCGTCAGAGTCCGTGAGAGGGAGAGCAATGTCGGTGGTGGAGAAGGTACGGAAAACTGTTTACGGGTCGAAGGCTGTGGATGTTGTGAATGGGAGAGCGAGCGCTAAGTCTCAACAAGATAAGGATAAGGAAAAGGTTGAAAGTTTGTCGGGAACAAGAACAGGCAGCACGGACATTGGTTCCCGTCTAGAGGAATTGCGACACAGGCTTGTGGCGGTCCTGGGGTCCGTTGATCCTGCCCCTAGGCTGGCACAATTGCGGGACCAGATAGCGAATTCTGTTGGCGCAGTTGAACTGCCATTGCTTCCAAGCATCCCAACTCTCCCAAGCATGCCGCCCATGCCTGTTATGCCGAACATGCCCAAGATTCCACCCATGCCCAGCATGGGGAGTTTATCCTTGCTTCCATCTTTGCCAGTTTTGCAGGTCTCTTCTCTGCGTGATAGGTTGTCTGTCATGATGATGGAGGGACAGAAGAACCTAGAGCTTGCCGGTCCCTTTGACTGGGACTTCGACAGCTACCTTGAGGGAGATTTACCTGCAGCGGTAAGTGACCTGTATACCTGGAGAAGCTTCCTCCTTTCCCCCTTTATCCCTCGCTGTTTGATGTCTAACATGGCAGAGCATCTCTAAGTTATCTTTTCTAGACTGGTGTGCCCATTTTGACCTTTATTTTGGGTAACTACGTGACCACCCGGTCCACGATTCTGGACCCGCTTTGACCCATATGTGCCTAGGTGTATTAGCTCTTGACCCACTCTGACTGGTCTAAGAGTTCTTCAGTCATGTTGGCCACATTCGGACCCATTTTGACCTTTTTTGAACTTTTGACTCATGTTTCAGGAACTATGCAAGTTCTTTAGTCATGTCTGAACCCATTTGGGGCCCAGTTCGACCCATTTCGATCCGTTTTGACCCATGTTTGTGTTACTACACGAGGTCGTCAGTCATATTTGAAGTTTGAACCCATTTGACCCACGTTTGTGTTCTTTTGTTTTCCATTTACCATTTAAATCCGTGGGTGTTCTTTGTTTTTCCTTTATTTGAAGTTTTTTGTGAGAAGTATACCAATTGATGTCAGATTTCAGTCTAGAAAAATCTGAGTTTCAAGGAAAGGTTCCAAGTAGCTTCTATATCAATCACTTTGTGCAACTCTTGCAGGACTGAACATTCTACCATTCTGGGGCTGTTGCCAATTTTCTATTGTATGTGGAAGTGGGGGGCGGGGGGTGGGGGCTGGGTGATGGAATTGGGCTCTTTGTCTTTTCCCAGATTGAGTACGTCGTGAGGGTCAGCAGACCTGACGATGGGAAAGTTATTGCTGTTGGCCATTCTATGGGTGGGATTTTACTCTACACGGCGATTGGTAGGAAGAGTAAGTTTTCTCCTTGCGTCTTTCCACGTATCTAAACTGTAAGAAGTTCCCCCTTGGCTGTGCTCAGCTGTCCTCTCTCTCTCTCTCTCTCTCTCTCTCTCTCTCTCTCTCTCTCTCTCTCTCTNTCTCTCTCTCTCTCTCTCTCTCTCTCTCTCTCTCTCTCTCTCTCTCTCTCTCTCTCTCTCTCTCTCTCTCTCTCTCTCTCTGTGTCCCTCTCTCTCTCCCCCACCCCCTTTCCCACCCTGCCTGATGATTGTACACACATCGACTTCCACGGCGCTGCCCTCTTTGTCTGTGTGTGTCTCTCAGAACCTGCGTTGATGTTTGACAATTACATTTTTCTGGGGACTTGAATGAGGAGAGATTTACGTATCTAGTTCATGATCAAACTTGCGTGGTGGTGACGGTCTTTCAACCATTGGTTTTGAACATTGGGGGTGTTGCTGCGTGGGGATGATGGTTCTCTGCAGTCCCCCTTTTTGTACCCAAACCAAACTCCTGCGAGCTGTAGGTGCAAGTTCCATGCTCAAAGCTGCCATGTGCCAAATAAAACGCCCTCTAGGAGTTTTATTAGTCTAGAAAACCTCCTGGGTGCTAAGATCCCTGGATGCCGAAGGCCCTGGAGCCGGACTTTTGCTGCAAGTAATCATCGACAACTTTCCTTGCCTGGAACTCCTTGGGAGTGGTGTTGGGGGAGGCCTGGGGTTTTCAAAACAAAACCGTAAAATTCTGGAGTGAGTGAATGTTATGGAGTCTTCCAACACTTTTTGACTTTTTTGCTCAGCACAACTTTAAAATTTTAAAGTCCAATTCGAGTAATAAGTGCTGAAGCTCTAAATAAAATAGAAACTGCCCGGGGAGGAAAGTTAGAAACTTGTATTTGGGATCTCGGATTTATTGCGGTAGAGGGTTTTGGGGACCGTTGGCATCCAAACTCGAATATAACCCCATGAGTTATGTTTTGGGGATAAGGTGCAGTTCAATCAAATCCAGTTGGTGGTCTTTGAGTGTTCTCGTCGTTGGTCTTGAAAATCTTAGTGGTGCTGGGTGGCGATGGTTCTCTACAGTAGTACAGTCCCATTTCTGTCAGATCTGGCTGGCACCAGTGATCTTCGTAATCTGGGTGGTCATGGCTCTCTCCACCGTCTTCCCCCTGAATGCAGACCACACCCTGTGTTGGGTTGGAAAGATAACCTTATATACTTTCATGATCAGGGTGCATTATATTTGAGCGAAAACCGTAGTCCCCAAGCAAGCATGTCCCAAGTGCTTCACATGAGTTTAGTTGAAGTCATCTCTGTTTTCTAATGTGCATTTCTAGCCATAGACCTGAGAAAGGCGGGGGG